AGCCTTCTGCAGCCAGTAAATGAGTCATATCAATCAGTCATGCTGAGGACAAAACGCAGCATGGGGGCCCCATCCAAGGAACTGAAAGATTCATCCATGCACACATGTGAATCTATAAATAAGCTTGCAGCTCTGTTGCTCTGTGTCTTTGTTTCTCTTTCCTTCTGTTTCCTCCTGTCTCGCCCTCCCTTCCTGCTCCAACTCCCCTTTTCTGCATCATATACCTCACTGGAGGCTCCACTTCAGTCCATTCAAATCCCTCCCTAATTGACACTCTGTGAGGAGAGGCGAGGCTAGCCCTGAATGCACTTCACTGACTATACCACAGCATGTTCGTATGAATGCTCCCCAGCATGGATATAGAGAACATTTTTGCCCTGCCTCCAGCATCAAATCTCCTCAGGGAAGCAACAAATTTAATTAAAACATGCAACGACTTGCATCAAAAACAAATACCCAAAAAACAAAAGCTGGCAATGGAATAAGCAAAGGCAACAGCAGCCTCTATAGAAGATCTGGGAATAACTTGGTGAAACCTCTCAGGTGCAAGCCCTGCTGGCTGCACAGCTAGTTCCCGAATCACAGAGGAAGGTCAAGTCTTGGACTAGATCTCTCACCTCCTTTTCTCCTCCCTCCATCCCCTACGCCGAGTAAAACCAACTGCTGTGAGAGACAGACTTGATTAACGATGCCTTGACTCCCCCCATTGGGAAACACAAGAAACTGTAGCGCATGCATGCTGAGCCGAGGTCACCAATTACATCCCCCACCCCTACCTCCCTTTTTACAAAATGTGAGTAAATATACTTTAGAATTCAATGTGGGCCGGTGCACAAAAAAATGCTTTACATAAAAAGTACAAGAGCCAACCTTTTTAGCTATTCTGCACGCAGCACTTTTCTTCAAATGAAGGAAAAAGGCCTCTGCATTCTCCAAACAAACACGCGCTGAAACGTCCTTATTCATCCAACAGCCGAAGCCGTACATGCACATCACTGGAGATAACGTCCTTCCTGCCTATCTCTTTTTTTTTCCTCAATTTAATTTATAAGAAAATATTTGATTATTAAGAAAAGAAAAAAATGGCAGTGACAATACATGTGCCATTTTTATCAATTCATCCTTTGTCAGAACACAAACATTCTGACAGTGTGTCAGCTCATCTAGAGACAGTAGGAGAAAGATTTTGAGATAAACAGTTTTATCTGTGGATGAAGGATTGGGTATGCATGTTAAACCCCACCACCTCCCCCCTTCTCCCCCTCCTCCATGTGCTACTTGGCTTCAACATCACAAAGTTATGGACGTGATGACTGAATAGTTGAAACAATGTTTTCCCTCGGTGGGCTATTAAGCATTTTCACAGTGGCAGTTTGGACTGAAGTGTCCAACTAAAGGGTCCTTCAACAATTGTTGTGGAGGATTTGTGAACGTTTGGAGCCCATGATTTCCCCTGCAGACAGATGCAGTGCTGAGCGGCAACATGCTGGATAATCGTATCATTTGTGGAGATGCTGTGTTGCAAAATAAATAAATTAAACTAAAAAAGATCTTTGTCTCATGTCAAAAAGAATACGTTTGATTCTGACGGAAGAGCGGGACAGTAAATAACATTTTAAATAAAACATGTATTTTATGCATCTTAACTGTAGAATGAGTGTAAAAGAAAAAATTGTTACAGTTTATTTACCGTACAAATTAAAATTAAAACTAGTCAAATTTCTAATAAACACCCATTAAGCATTATTTATATTAATAATTTGTTTATATTCATCTTTAATGCATATTGTTTACAGCTGAAAATAATAATGTTTTTATAGGTCAAGGAATATTTCTAACATGACACTGATCTGAAACTACAAAGATCGTTAATAGACCAGCTACCATATTAATAAAAACAAATGAACAGGGTGGAGCTTAAAGTATAGATGAAAAATATTAGTGACAATTTAAATAATTTGTTTCACAAGACTTGAATTTAAACAATAGAATATATATCTATATCTCCCCCTCCACACACACACACACTCACACAAGGCGTTAACAAAATAAATAAAAAGAATAAATATTCCAACTTAACTGTCCAACAAATGACTCCTAACCGAGAATAATGAGAAATGCATATAAAACTGATAAAAACATGCGCTTGAACTAATAAAATATGCAGATCATTTGCAGAATATAAAAAAAATGTCTTAATCTAACAAGTATTTGAATGTTTCTTGTCACTGGAAGTCAGCGTTTTAAAGTGGTCCAGCCTGAGTTCTAACTTTAATCTGTTAAATAATCTATGGACAGGGTTTAAGATTAGGGTGATGGAGTGAATAATTCTAACATCATAGAATTCATTAATTCATTCTACATTAGGGATAAGTTAACGACTAGAAACATGAAGAAAAAAACCTTCCTTTATGATCATCCTTCGAATTACTTGTTGCATTCCAAATCAGAAACAAACTTCTCTTTTGGAAAAACTACTATTTAAGACTTTATTGTATATATATTAATCTGCAAAAACACAAAACTTTTGACAGCAAGATTGAGCTGAGGAAAGTAAACATGTCTTCTAATACGGAGACCAATCAAAATTCCTCTGGTCTGCTAAACTGACAACAATAAGGCTTACAAACACATTATTATTGACATTATAATATTGATTCTAATATAAAATTAAAACTTAAAATATATGTTCCACTCTCCATTAATAGTGGTATTGCTCACAATGTTTTGCGGCTGCAACTAAGGATTTTTTTGCAAATCGATTAATCTCTTAATTTTTCTTGTTTTTTGGATCAATCCAGTAATAACTGGATAGCAAAACATTCCTTAAAGAACATTATTTACATAATTAAACCAGGAGAAACAAAAACTTTTGTCAACCTCTTTTTTTAAATCTTAAATGCAAAATATTTATGTTTTTCATTATTGTGGGTTATTTGACATGCGTACGACTTCCTGTCCTGTGCGATCTGCTTAGCGTTTAGTTCCGGCATCCGGCAGAAATATAAAACAGGTTCAACATCCAACACTGAGAAACCATTGTTTAATAAAGGTTTCTTTTAAAGCCAAAGATGTCACTAACATATCCGTTACATTATGAATGTTGATTTAACCAGTGGAAATTGATTAACGGCTGGTACCGACAAAGTTAAATCAACTTTGGTTCGACGTTCCCTTTCTGTCCGAGTAGCTCCCAAGCTGAAATCCTTCTTCATGGAAATTAAGATTTTTCTCACAGTTATTAAGAACATAAACTGCTCTCCACCTGCATTACTAGTTTGATGTGTTCCTCTTTGAGGGACTGACAAACTCATTAAGCAGTTGCTTGTGTGTGGCAGTTACAATAGTGACAGTGTGTCGACAATGACTTACAATAACTAAACATTTGCTTTATTTTTCATCATCCTACAGTCAGTTTCGCTGTAATGTTTTTGAGTTTATATCACAAATTAAGCCATAAATAGATTAATGAAATACTGAGGACACAACCTCGGTGTCCAATATTGTAGTTACGATCCTGATTGCTACGTTAAAAAAAGGCAACAGACAGGAGGAAGCTGATTTAGAGTCTATGAGGATATGGATAGAGCCAAACAAATGTCAAAGGAAGATCCATCTAGCTGGACAGAGGCAAAGCATGAATACAACTGATAACCCTCAGTACCTCTCCATCTAGTTGGACTATTTTTTTATATTGGGCACTGGAGCCTTATACAAAACAGTCTTAGGACTTGCACCACCTCCATAGGGGGAATTCAAAACAGATACATGCTTGTAGCAAAGCCACTGGGCTATTGTTATAGAAGAATTCAAAGTGCCTTTGGACGTACCACATTTGGGCAGTAAGCTCTGTTAGTCAGGAGCTGTAACATCTGGAGCAGCCTGTTCACTATGAGAGAATTCCCCAGTTTAACACACAGAAGACTCCACTAAAGGACCCCCTGAAATTTCATTTTATTAGACTGTGTGTAAAGCCAGGCATACGGGACATTTTCAAACGTTGCAGTCAACTACAGCTCAAACTGTATGAAGAAACTGCAGGGTTTAAAACGTCACTGCTCGCAATGTTTTTTCTCACACTGTACGGCCCAAGGCTATGATGCGGTCTACCTGCTCTCACTGCACGTCCAAAAAAAAAAACATACGTCGGACTCAGCTCCGAGAGTTGGCGCTGGTCGAACTTGTCAATCTGGAAGACGACGAAGAAGAACTTCCGTTTGCACATGCACAGTGCTCGAGGTTAAGGTAAACCGACTCATACACACTCGTAGCTCTGCTTCAACAGCAGGATTTTTCTGCGAAAACCTTACATGGGCCGACTGAACTTCAAACATATTTCATTTTCTCCCCAATTTATGATTCCTGATAGGACAACGCAAGACGCATGATGAGCCTGAAACTCTGCCAGATCAAAAAAATTCTTGCAGAACTGGAGAATCGGCCCAAAAAGGTTAAGAAAAATAATAATTTGTACTGTGTGTCAGCCATGCTGCCTCTTATAACTGCCTCACAGGCTACTGATGAAAACAAGTTACATTTTGCAAACTCACACACACTATGATCAATGAGCACCATCTCTAAACAAATTATATATATATATATATATATATATATATATATATATATATATACATACAAGGCAAAATAAGCACTACAGTTTAACACAAATGCATGCATCTTATTTCTGGTGTTTCTTTGCTAGAAAAATTGAAAGCTATGCACTATTTCCCTTCTGCTGAACAATTATCTCCGTAATGTTGGTCCCCCACATAAAAGTACAATAAAATGCATTAGGATTTGTGGTCATAATGTGACCAAATTAGATAAAAGCTACCATTGTAGGCCTCTGAGAAACTGATGTTCATGGCATTAACAAAGTGTAGATTTCTTGAATTTGAACTTACATTAGGGTAATTCTTTGGGGGATTTATAGGAATTTAACACCTGGTTTCCAGGCACTTTGTTTAAAGAAGGCATTTAAGAGAAGAAAATCCTCTTACCTGAATCCACTTGTCAGGAATTGCCATCGCCAGGCGATAATCGAAGCCCATCCCACCCTCCTCTACTCTTCTGCAGAGGGCAGGCATCCCTGAAACATCCTGCAGAGATGTTTCACTGTTTAATATAACAGTTTTGTGGTTTTCTTCAAATAAACAAAATCCCATCACTACAGGCTGCATAATTTATTTATCAAGTTAAAAAAATGTGCAAAAAAAAATTTTTACATTAGGTTTTTAATTACAGAAACAGAAAAAAAGGACGATATGCCTGCCTAATAAGTGCTTTTATTTTATAATGGCTAAAGGCACTCAATTTTGCAAAGTGGTGCCGATGTGTGTTTTTACCTCTGCAATAGTGATGCAGTCCGGATAAAGACTATGCAGGATGTGGTTGGAAAGCATGAGGTACGTCACAGATTCCTCATCAACCTGTAGGCCAAAGTATTCGCTGTAGTCTCCAGTGAAGCCAGTGCCTGAAGGGTAAACACCCACATGGTGAACACTCATTTTGCTTTCTACCCAAACTTCCAAACTGACCAGATCTTTTTCTTTTTTTCCAGGTGATTCAACTAGCTTCACTTCATTTGTTAGTTACCTCCAGCATTATGAGGGGTTTGGTTTAAAGTGTTTAATATTAATGGAACTGTTTTACAGTGCTTTGAATTATAGAGTATTTATACTTCCGTGGCCTTTTCCACATCACAACCACAAACTTGAAGGTATTTCACCAACACATAAAAATTAAAATTGATGAAATAAAAGGAGAATAACACGGTTATTTTTATTTTTTTTTATATAAAAACGAGTGAAGTGTACATAAATATATAAGTTTAGGTATAATTTGAAATTATAATAATATTTAAATTAGAATAATTTCTGTTTTGATTCAGAATCCTGCTTTTCGATTCCAGTTCTCATTAATTCAGTCTTTTTTTTTTTTACGTGTTTTAAATGAGCTGTGTGACCAGAGTCCCCTATGGATAAAATGGTGTGAACATCTCAATGAATTTTAAATCCTTCAATATTCAACTTTGTGCAAACATTCATATAAAGGATCGCATTTTTATAAATATCAAACCTATAACCACTAATATGAATCTTATACCTTTTCTTTTAACAGAGTTACCGGTACATTTTCCCATAAAAAGTATGACACTGGAGGTAATTATGCTGTATAAGACAACTGTTTTATTGCATTTACCTGATTCTAACTAAGCTAGGCTAGGCTGAAATTCGCAGCTGGAGAACAAGCAGTGCAGGTGTTAAGCTCAGGATGGTATCCCTACTGAATATACATCCTCGGCATCTTTCACTGGACCTCAGTTCCACTCAACCAGACATAGAAGAAGTGATAATCATCATATGAAGCCGAAATAAACAATGAATAAAATTATGCTTTAAATGATTCGTAAGTCTAGCTTAAAAAATTTTTTATTCCATCAAGCACGCATAGGGAAAAAAGCAGGTAACTGATACATATTAAGAAAAAGAGGAAAGAGGAAAAAAAGCTCTGCTGTCCTTTCAGAAGGTGTGTTATGAATGCATTAGGGAACAAATTCCCTTGGGGAACCTTCTTCAGCACAGCCCTGTCGCAGCGGGTCAAAGAAGAGGAACTCTCATCCTGAGTTTGTTTGTGTTTAATCATGTTGGCCATGTGCTATCCTATGGATGAAATAATATAACTGCAGATGATGCTTGTTAACTAATTGATCATGTCTTTAAACTATGTCAAGCCACACTTTTAAAAGCTAACAGATGGCTGCATGGCCACTTCTCCAAATTCTTCTTTACTGTATTCTGCAGCTTCCATTTCTGCTCTACAGAATGAGAATCAAAATAATTGATTTAATATTTTATATTTGAACGAGAGAGAACTGAAAGGATAGAACCGGTTCCAATGATTTCTCAGGGTTAATCATGAATGCCATGATTAACTTTATTTTAGCAAATATAGTAAAATCTGCAGTTTAACCCATACAAACATTATGTATAATTAATGTTATATGATCACATTATAATCGTAGTTTAGTGATTATGTCTAAAAAGGGGTGTTAAGTCAGGATAAGGAGCATGAAAATTGTATTTATATATTGTGGACATTTTCTTTTTGTATACATTTCTATTTTGGTATTCAAGTAATCTGTCGTTTTTTGTTTGTTTTGATTAATCGATTAAAAATCAGAGGGCCCATAAATAAAATTTTATACAGAATTTAAACCAGGTGAAGAGAAAAATATGGTTGCTCAGTAGAGCAGTGGGTAGCACTGCTGCCCTGCAGCAAGAAGGTTCCGGGTTCCTTTCTGCATGGAGTTTGCATGTTCTCCCAGAGCATGCCTGGGTTCTCTCAGGGTACTCCGGCTTCCTCCCACAGTCCAAGAACATGACTATTAGGTTAATTGGCCTCTCTAAATTCTCCTTAGGTGTGAGTGTGTGTGTGAATCATTGATTGTCCTGCGATGGACTGGTGACCTGTCCAAGGTGTACCCCGCTTCTCACCTGTAGACAGCTGGAGATAGGCACCAGCACCCCTCGCGACCCCGCCTGAGATAAGTATGACGGAAAATCGATGGATGGAAGAGAAAACTAAGCCACTTGACTTCTTTTTTTCATCTTTAATGCAAAATGTTGCTATAATTACTGCTTATAATTACTGCTCTTTTAGCTACTGGCTTGTTTTAGAGTTTCCATATTCATGTTTGCGATTAACCAATTTCTAAATTAGCTGATTGCCCCAATAATCAGTTAATCATCATCAATCTGATTGTTTCCCATAGTTATCATTGGCCTCTCTGCTACCTCTTAAATGCATGTTCTCCTTTCCTGGCCTTTCAGTTTAGATGGATGACCAGGTCTTAGTAGATCAGCAGTTGTTTCATATTGCTTCCCTTTTTTCAGATGAAAGTTGTTGAAAGTGTTCTGAGAGTCAGGATTATAATTTTAGAACCCAACCCTTTTTTACTTTTACTATCCCTGCTCCCTTGATCTCCATGATGCCGTTTGTTCACTAATGTTCTCCTTTAAAGACCTTCGCAGGACAGCTGGATTTACATAAACTTATTAACATTTAGATTTGTCAAAACAGGAGATGCCATATAGGGTTTTATGCCCCCTTCTTTACTAGTAAGCCATACCCTTAAGATTCCACAAAAGAATCCCAATGTTTGTGGTTGTAAAGGAAAGTTATCCAAGTTTAAAGGAGTATAAATACTTTTGCTAAGTAATACGGACCTGAAACTATGTTTTACATAAGTCAGTTTTTCCACCTTTGCAAGAAATGCTGCAGTTTTAACTTCAGAATAGTGAAAAGAGAAACATGGTCAAACACAGGGTAACAAGTCTTACCGATACCATGATGATGGTACAGCATTGAGGTAACACCGTCAAACCTGAAGCCATCAAAGCAGTACTCCTCCATCCACCAGCGCAGGTTCGACAGCAGAAAACGGAGCACTTCCCAGCTAGCAGGATTCACACAAATGGCAGAAACAAAAACAATTCAAGGTCAGATAAACAAAGGGCTGTGAATTATTCACACATATTATCATGAATTTTAGTCACCAGAGATTAATTTCCCTCTTGAAAGCAGGACATCCACATACTGACAACCAAAGCTCCAATATATCTGGTAGGGAGTGGCAGCAACTGCAGACGGTGCTTATATTAACAATAGGGAGAACTATGTCTTTCACATATTAAGATGTCATGATGAAAAATCGGTTGCTTTATGATTTCCATCGGCTCGTAGAGAAAATATGTGTATCAAGGCATCCTGGTGCATTTGCATTGACAGGATTTCATGCCACACTTGGACAAGAGAATTAAAGCCTCTTACAAAAAATGGGTTAAAGCATTCATCTTCAGCTTCACGTGTAATGAGTTTCAGCATTTGTCAGGCAAGAGTGTAAATGCCTAAAAAAAGGATAAACTTGCAAAAATTCCCAAATACTGAATGCAGTTTGCAATAGATTTAACCCATTGTTGAGCCATCGGATGTGGCACAGAAATATGCTGCAGCTGTTGGCTGCTGGCTGGAGGATGTGGATTCCATAAATGGCCTCCGTCCTCCATCCTAACTCCAAGAGTCATGCAGTCACTCAAGGCAAAGTACACAGCGCACCTCAACTCTTCCCATTTAGGTGGCGTGTCGCCATGGAAACGTCAGCAAAAACTCAATATTTGGTCGTCTCCATGCAGTGCGCGTAATGAGCACCAAATGAAACACAGTACTCGGATGCAGCGCTGTAGGGCAAAAGCAAAGCACCAAGGATGTGAGATGAATGACACATTCAAGATGCCGATTAAGTGTGAAGTGCTGCCTCTGCCTAAGCTGAGTGTCCTTTGAGCTCCAACAATGATGAGAGAAATTTGTGTTAACTGCATTTATGAATAAAAACATAAACAAAGATGTTTTTACATTGCAAGATTTTTTTGTAGACATTTTAATTATGATTAATTAAGGATTATATACAGAGAAAGGAATATTAAACTGGAATATAAAAATTAATAATCATAATTTCAACATAAGCATTCAAATCATCAACGGATCAACTCTTCTGGTGCGGATGCATATAAAAAAATAAATAAAAACATCACACGTTATTTTTAAGATAAGGTAAGATTAACCTTATTGTTCCAAAGGAAATTTGAATTCGGTACAAACTCTGCCTGCTTTTATTCCTCTAGCCTAAATTTAAACTAAGAATTTAGAGAGAAAATAATATTTTCTAAGAGAATATAATAGTTTTAACCCATTAGTGCCAGTAAAGCACAAATAGTTGCTTTATTTTCATTGTTAAATGAACTTTATTTATACAATGTGACAGAAGTGCTGATTTCTCTCCAAAAAAGACGGGAAAACACCAAATTTAATTGAGGTCGATGTATGTTAAACATCTAAACTCAGGAAAAGGCTACTGACCTAAATATGCCCGCATCTACAGTTCAAGTAAAAAAAATAAAATTAAACAAACGATGTTCAACACCTGGAACATGTTTCCATCCAGCCAAAAAGTAAAACTATAAAATCGCAATTAAAGAATAAACGCTTAAAGAAAAGTTCCAATATTTACCTGGGAATCCAATATTTGCACAGGTGGTGCTGCACCTCACAAGATGGAATTAGGTACCAGATAATTTAATTATTTCTATCTGAATGATGCAATTACAAAATAGAATGAAAAATAAGAAGCTTTAGGAATTTAAAAGAGGCCTTTGTAGCATCTAATGTGTAAAACTGGCAATGCAACAATACTGAACAAATCTCGTTTTCAACATTTCTTGAAACCTAATTATCGATTTATACCCGACACTCGCAGAGGATTACGTTCTGTATGTCAAGAGAAAAAAAAAGCCAGTTTCTTTAGAAAAAAAAAAAAAAAAAAAAAAGATTTAAATGTGTTCCCTCCTGTGCTCCATTCCTCAGGGATGACCACAGTCAGCACTGTTTGACAGGTGTGAAGCCGCATGTTACATCTGCGCTTCCTTCTTCCCTGGAGGAGCAGAACAAGGGAGCCTGGTATGATCCGATATAGTAGCCTGGCTGGGTGGTCACACAGACCCTGTGATAAATAGATTAGGTCCTCCACTTCAGTGCGCAGAGCCAACAAAGGCTCAGACACAATGTATCCTCACGGGATGGAGATAATAGCCAGTGAGAGCTAGAGGCCCGAGATGAAACCATACTGCCACATTAGGGCCTGCAATGCCATTCATCATCAGGTCCAATTACAGTGTGAAAGGTAGATCTCTATACCAGATGGAACACAACGTTTATCTATGCAGCGGCATGAAGTTATCAGCTGGTCTGCGGTGTTAATGTAAAAGCAAATTGCACATTACAGCGTCCTTAGATTAAAGTTTAGCAGTGACAGTGAAACCTAGTTAGGGAGCACTAATAGAGTAAAGCTCTAATATTGCTGCTTGTAAAGAAAGATAAGATAATCTGTCATGTTTTCCTGTTTTTTTCCTGCAAGCCACACACACACACACAGCTAAAATAAATACCTGAAGTTAATTCAAAAGAAGATTTTTTTTTCTCCCCCCACACACGCTCTTCATATTTCATGATTGTTAACTCATTTAGCTCATTTTCTCTCCATGCTGGCAGGACGTGGCTCAAATAAAAAAAAATAGAAAAATTTTATTTATAGCAGAGCTGACTTTATACTCTGCATACTCCTTCACTTTTTATTCCTTTTTTTTTTACATTTTGCTGGGTTAGAGCCAAAAACTTTAAAGAATTGTATTGGCATTTGTGGAGATTCACAGATCAGATGCAGCGATCAGTCATCGATTTTTGAAAAATTAACACAAATCTGACTGACTTGATCAAAGATTGGGCATAAGTAATCCCTTATTGAAAGAGAGCTACTGTATAAGAATCCCAGTCATTTGATAAAAATAATTGAACCAGGTACTTGCAACCTTCTCAGAGCACAAGCGCACTTCTCTAACCACTAGGCCAACACTTCTCTTAAATGGCCTACAGCAGTCTGCAAACTTATGGAAGGAGGAGCACTGATCAGACAGAAAACAATATTCTGGCCCATACAGAAAGTGCTGAGAGAGGTGAAGTTACCAAGAGTGCAAATAATGCTAAAACACTGGCCCCAAAGATAAACATGGTGGCGGCTGCCTATTGTAGTCTGTAGCTGCGGCACAATAGTAGGCAAACCATAAACATTGTACGTAGTTAAAGCTTCAACAAAATAGTTTAGGTCAAGCCGTATTCATATGTTAGAATGGACCAGTAAAGTCCAATTCAATAGTGAACAGAAGAGTTCACCAGCAGCCAGTCTGCCAAAGCATGACCCCATAAGGTGCACTTAAGCTCATAATTAAAATGTAATTGTGACTATGAAAAAAGGATGTGCAAAACTTTTACAAGGGATTGAAACCAACAGATGGTGAAATATTTTGCTTTTCCCGACGTTAATTTCCCATCAGGGATTGACGCAAGTCATCATATTGGGAGAGAAAAAAAAGATTTAAGATCTTGTTTACCCAACGTCACAGTTAAGATAAGAGCCCCTCCACCCCACACCAAAATAAATAAAAAAAATCAGGAAGCTGACAGGTAATTCAAGAGTGTGATGCTCAGCCGATGGCAAAATGACACACGTGATGGATGGCAAGCATTTGTTAAAACAAAAGGGACAAATGGGCTGCCTCTTCCAACGCATTTCAAACTTCAATAATCTCTTTAGCAAGAACAGAACAAAGACTTTGATGGGACTCTCTTCGGTATACTTTTTTTAAATATTCAGTTTTCTTTTTACAATAGAACTGAAGTTTTCTACTTTTTATTTACATTTCACAGATTTTCTCTTTTTAATACAGATATAAAAGCAAAGTTGGGGTAGGCAAATGCATGCAGTATACTGGTCTAAAGACAAGTGAAATCTTGCAATATTAAGCAACAGCTTTAGGAAAACTCTCAGTGAGATGTTGCCTGCTTTTCTGAGTTTTGTGTCACACATCTGCTGTTTGTCTGCTGTTCTTTAAACTGCATGGCAGCTACCTGCTCTTTCTGGGCTTCCTAAAAGGGATCCTCAGCTGTCACTGAGATTATATGTCTGGTAACCTGCAATTAGGAACACTCAGTATTTCCTGTCTTTTAGAAATCAGCCGCAGCTTGTCATTATTTTTGTACCGTTTTATTGAAGTTTTAATCGACAGACTTTATATTAGCAGCAGTGAAATATCTAAGAGGTTTTATTAGTAAAATGATGACCATATTTTAAAACCCTGACCATTTGACTAAAAAGGGGCCACTAGACAGAGTTCTTTGCAGTCATCTTCTTTGTAAAAGATATTTTCTATGTGGAGTTAAAAACATTTTTTACAAAATTGTAATTTCCAAAAAGACATTTCTAATTTAATTTAGCGCTACCGTTTTTTAATATGTAAAAAAGCGGCCCATTTCTATTTGACCCTTGTCTAAGTATAGCAAAGTCTAGAATAAAAGCCATTCCACATACAGGTAATGATCACCATCTAAAACTTTGGTATATTTACAATCATAGCAGTGATTAAAAGAAACTGGAACTGAGGCTGAATGAGGATCATGTTTATCTTGCCACCTCATACAGGGAGAGAAAGGGCTAAGGAGGGTGGAAAAAAAGTCAAAGTATTATATTTGAAACTTGGAGACATAAAAGAAACTATTTATTTTAAGCACTTTGTTCCTGCTGTCAGAATGCCAGTGAGTGTGGGAGGTGCTGTAGACTGGTTTCAAGAAAGATCTTAATTAGCAAGCTTATCACTCTAATTGATGCAAATTTAAGAAGGATGTGACATTGTGCTTTTAAAATTCTTACCTCAAAAAAAAAAATCTGATCTTAATATAATACTTTTGTCCAAAACCACAAGCTTTAGAAAGGTTTCACGAATCATCTTCATAAACTTTAACATCTTGTGGCTTCTGTCCTCTAAAACAATCCCCACCAGTATCAGTAAT